TTCCCTTCAAGGCTCAGGGGTCCAGGATTATCTTCTGTGTCTGTGTTAATTGGTTTCCCTTTTCTTTGTTGAAGAGGGTCTGTGCAGTCTTTCTGTCTAGTCCGCCATCTTGTCGGAACTCCTCACAGTTTTTTAATTACTTGTTCAGCATTGACCTTCCATTCTAGCAAGGATGAAACAGACAATAAATAAATAAACAACAAAATGAAGGTAATATCAGATAGTGTTAAACATGACAAACGTGGATGTGGTAAAGTATCTGGGAGGCTGTGTTAGATCAAATGGTTAGGGAACACCTCCCTGAGAATGTGACAATCTGAGACAGGCGCATTTCCAAGTAGGGGTTAGCTGGGGCAAAGGGCCTAGGGCAGGCAGGAGCTGGCATGTGCTAGGAACAGAGAGAAATTTTTGTGGATAGAATATAATCAGTATGGTAGCAGAGGCAAAGTTGGTGAAAGTTGAATGATAAAAGATGAGGTTGGGGAGAGGTAAAAGAGTCAGATCCTATAGGACCTTGTGGGACAGTGTGAAGAATTCCCATATGTTTTTTCTCTAACTGTAATGGGGAGTTATTGGAAAGTGGAGTCCTTGTATGGTATAAACAGGTAATGCACTCAGCTGGTACGCCAAAGGTTAGAGGTTCAAGTCCACTCAGCAGAACCTGGAAGAAAGGCCGGGTGATCTACTTTTGAAAAATCAGCCACTGAAAAATGTGTGGAGCACAGATCTGACACATATGGAGTTGTCATCTGTGGAAGCTAAATCTACATCTTCCAGTTCTGATTAAACAGAAGAAAGAAAGATGGTTTATAATTTATAAAAAAAAAAAAAAAGTCCGAGGTGTTCTCAGAAAAGCAATGGTGCAAGCAGCAGACAGTGAGAACCAGGGATCTACCGAGTATGTGTAAACACAGGAGAGAGCAGGGCCAAAATAAAACTGTAAGGGACTTCTACATTTAGAAGAAACAAGAAAGCAGGGAAGTACAAGTCAAGAAACAAAACGTATGGCTCATGAGGCTAGAAGAAAAGCAGAAGACATTGGTGATTTGGGGAAGAAATAAGCGAAAGACATTGAACAAGGGGTACTTTGTTTATAGCATTCTTCTTCATCAGTATTAAGTATAGGGGGAAGTCAACCAATTCCACAACTGCACTTAATTATTATCTGATAATAAGGAGCTCTGGTGGTATAGTGCCTAGGGCCTTTGACTGCTAACCAGAAGGTTGGTGGTTCAAACCTACCAGTCACTCCATGGAAAGAAGATTGGGCAATCTACTTCCGTAAAGATTTACTGTGTTAGAAGCCTAACAGGGGTGGCTATGAGTTGGAATCAACTCAATGGCAGAAAGTTTGGTTTGGTTTATTATCTGATAATGAGCTATAAAGAATGTCAATGCCATGCGAGTAGCTAACAGTGAGTTAATATTGTTGTTGTATTTTTGTCATTGCAGGCCATATACAAGGAGCACAACAGTTAAGCGCTCAGTTAAGACTTGATGATCTGCTCCCATAAAGATTGTTGTTGTTGTTGTTGTTGCTGTTATGTGCCGTCGAGTCGGACCTGACTCATAGCGACCCCTCCTTGGGTTTCCAAAGCAGTATCACTACGGAAGTAGATTGCACAATCTTCCTTCCGAGGAGTGGCTGGTGGCTTTGAACCGCCAGCCTTCTCGTTTGCAGTCAAGTGCTTTAGCCACTATGCTACCAGAGTCTAAAAAACTCTCTGTGGCAGTTCTATTCTATCACATGGAGTCATATTAGTCAAAAATCGACTCCATGGCACCTAACAACAGGCCACATACACATACAAATGTTCAAAACAAAACCCACTGTTATCGACTTGATTCTAACTCATAGCAACCCCTTCTGGGTTTCCAAGGTGGAAAATCTGTACAGAAAGAGATTGTTCCATCTTCTCTCTGCAGAGTGGCTGGCGGTTTGAACCGCCAACCTTCTGGCTAGCAGTCAAATGCCTTAGGAACTGCAGACCAGAGCTCCTTAAATGTTGTTCAGGTGTACCTTATTATTCATTCACCCTCAATGTTTCTGGCAGAAAACCTAACAGAATATTTGTTTGCAAGCTGTAAGCAATATGGCTTCCATATTGTGTTGCAAGCAGTTAAACTCTTAGTATACCAGCCCAATAAATATCATTTGCCAAACTAAACTCATACCATCAAGTTGATTCTGACTCATAACCACCCCATTGGGTTTCTAAGGCTGTAAATCTTTACTGAAAGAGATTGCTTCACCTTTCTTCTGCAGAGTGGCTGGTGGGTTAGAACCACCAACCTTTTGGTTAGCAGCCAAATGTCTTAACTACTACACCAGGAGAGCTGGTATAGTAGTTGAATCCAGCTGAGTTTAGCCCAACTAATTAACCTGGAGCAGGGCTACATGGTTAAGCAGTACAGCCAGCCTAAGGCAAATTGTGAGAGAGGCAAAGCTTTATTTTAGTTCCTGTTTTCACATTGAGACACCGGTTTAAAGTTTCCTGGAATCCATCTGGGACCTAGGGATCCAGACCAGTGATGAAGATACAGGTTACAGGGCTTCTGTGTTGCGGGGAGGGGTGGGGGAACCAACACCAATACATACGGGCTTCAGGGATCGGGACTACTGACTTCCGGGTGAGGGGGCGGGGCCAAGGACATCCGGGTCCTGGGAGGCGTCCAGGCCGGTGACATCCGGGTCCCAAGGAGATCACAAACTCCCATGGTACGGTGGACAGTGGTGGTGTGACTCTGCGCTGTATCCCCAGCGCCTGGCACCGTGATAGACACATGCCACGTTGCGAGTTCTCGACAACAACTGTGTCCAGCCCTTGCAGAATACATCCTACTTTCGACACAACTTCTGCGAGGTCCCTCCAGATACAAGGTGGGCACGATGGCTGAGAAAATGGACTGTCATTACTGCCGGGAGTCCCTGCAAGGGAAGAAGTACGTGCAGAAGGATGGCCACAACTGCTGCCTGAAGTGCTTTGACAAGTTCTGTGCTAATACCTGTGTGGAATGCCACAAGCCCATCGGTGCGGATTCCAAGGAGCTGCATTATAAGAACCACTACTGGCACGATACCTGCTTCCGCTGTTCCAAGTGCTCTCACCCTCTGGCCGATGAGACCTTTGTGGCCAGGGACAACAAGATCCTGTGCAACAAGTGCTGCACTCCTGAAGATTCCCCCCAGTGCAAAGGGTGCTTCAAGCCGATTATGGCAGGAGATCAAAACGTGGAGTACAAGGGGATCGTCTGGCACAAAGACTGCTTTACCTGTAGCCACTGCAAACAAGCCATTGGGACTGGAAGCTTCTTCCCTAAAGGGGAGGACTTCTACTGTGTGACTTGCCATGAGACCAAGTTTACCAAGCACTGCGTGAAGTGCAATAAGGCCATCACTTCTGGAGGAATCACTTACCAGGATCAACCCTGGCATGCCGATTGCTTTGTGTGTGTTAACTGCTCTAAGAAGCTGGCTGGGCAGCGTTTCACCTCTGTGGACGACAAGTATTACTGCGTGGATTGCTACAAGAACTTTGTGGCCAAGAAGTGTGCTGGGTGCAAGAACCCCATCACTGGGTTTGGTAAAGGCTCCAGTGTGGTGTCCTATGAAGGACAATCCTGGCACGACTACTGCTTCCACTGCAAAAAATGCTCCGTGAACCTGGCCAACAAGCGCTTTGTTTTCCACGAGGAACAGGTGTACTGCCCTGACTGTGCCAAAAAGCTGTAGTTTGACAGGGGCGCCTGTCCTGTAAAATGGCGTTTGCAACTTCTGCTTGGTGTCCTCTTTCTCCCCTGTACCATCAATAGGGAAAGTGTTGTATCACCTCCTCCAAGCGGTTTCTCTGTCGTTTTTTCTCTATTTTACAGTATTTCTCACATAAAGGGCACACAGTGGATCATACTAGGATTTAGCAAAAACCAGGTCTGCCGCAAACTTTACTTCTTTGTAGCTGCGTCAAAAAGGTGCAAACTTTGGTAGATTGACTCTTCTGCGTGTTTGTCATAGAGCAGAAAAGCGCTAACCATTCAGCCACTTAGTGATGTAAGCGAGAGGCTTAAGAGCCCCTCCCCCCATCCCCCATCCCGGCACTGAGGTGACTTTCACGGCTCAGCTGGGACCTACCATGTAGTCACACATGTAGTCACACAGTCACACAACACATAAGAGTTGCAGCGGCTGCTTCAACTCAGGCTGCTCACTCAACTCTGTGAGCAGATGAAGCACTTCCCGCCGTGCAGGGCTTTCCTTCCTCACCCACACTAGGCCCTTCCTTCTGCTCTTCGTGCTTTCAAATAACTAACGCCAATTTCCAGAAAATGAACATCTGAACGTAACTGTAATCCCGTCTAAACTGATCTTTCTCCATACTAACGTTTGATTTCCCTGTGCAGGGTGTTTTCTTGAGGGTTCCTGTTTTAAAGCCTGGGACACGGAGGCGATTTGGGAAGTGTCGGCGGATCCGAGAAAACGTGCCTATTAATAGTTAAACATAATCACAGTGGATACTTTTGAAAGCTTTAACAAAACTAACCCCGCTGTCTTTTTTTTTTTTTTAAGAAACATTTTTTTCTTTTATTGTTTTAATTAACAGTGACATAGTTTGAGTTTTGAAAGTTGCATGAAAACATGTTAGCCCCCTCAAACGTTCCTGCAGGTTTGAAATTCACACCACAGAAGTGAAACGCTAGAAGGGTAGTTGAGCAGGCCCCAGAGCCATACCCTACACGGAAGTGGCATTTCAAAGTGGTGACGAGTCGCACCCCTTATACCATAGGCGTTGTGCGCTCTTTGTCCATGTGTTAAGGAGGGCCACCAAGTCCCTTCTTTTGTTTGTGATTCCTAGACTTTTCCTCAAGAGCTTAGCTGGCTCTCTGGTGCCGTAGGGGGCCGCTATCCTCACGGGCAGAACCGGACATACTCCTACTGAGAACAAGAAATGCGGGATCACCTCCTCACTGTTCTGTGTGTTATATTACATAGTATAATGAGAAATTATCAGCCATAAACATGTAATGACAATACATATTAACGTTCTTGTAGAAGTGGTTATAAAAGCTGATGCTTCATTTCTACATCCTGTCATTAGCTACTCTCATCTAACGTTTCATTGTATCCATACAGAAATAAAACAGCATATCAATTAAAAAAAAAAAAAAGTTTCCTGGAATCCAGATTTCTGGGGTCCATGGAATTTGGTAAACCCACCCAGACCATTGCCCTTGAGATCTTCTTTTGAACCTTGAGCCTTGAGCAGACTGGTCTAAAACTCACCTTTAGGTCAAACAATTGTAGTGTCAAGACTATTTTTGCCTAAGGGTTCTTTTGAGGAATTACATCTATAGGCAATCAGTTGCGGGAGCTCTGGTGGCATAGTGCCTAAGACACTTGATTGCTAACCAGAAGGCTGACAGTTCAAACCCACCAGCCACTCCTCTGAAGGAAGGTTGGGCAATCTACTTCCGTAGGTGATACTGCTTCGGAAACCCAAGGAGGGGTCGCTATGAGTCAGGGCCAACTTGATGGCACATAACAACAACAGGAGCAGCAATCAGTCCCAAGAAACAGAAATTCCAGGGTCAGACTAGAAGCTGTATTCGTATATAATCACTGTTTCCTAGCCTTTTATCAGGGCAATGTCACTAAGATGAAATATAGGAGTCTTTGAAAGATCTCTTGTCCGTGGAAAATTTAGACTCTCTAGTCAGAAGCATTGCTCAATTTGCATATCATATAGTAAATAAACTTCAATCAATTTCTATTGTTGGCTTAACATGATTTTTATTTTAACATCATATGATTGGTTGTTTGTTGTTAAGTGCCATCGAGTCGTTTCCGACTCATAGCGACCCCATGCACAGCAGAATTAAACACTGCCCGATCCCACGCCAGCCCCACAATCCCTACTATACTTGAGCCCATCATTGCAGCCACCGTGTCAATCCATCTCGTTGAAGGCTTCCCCCTCTTTCGTTGACCCTCCACCCTACCAAG